GAGGACTGAACCAGAGGCGACAAAACAGTTCGTTACGGGACACCATCTCAGGATAAATCCCTGCCTTCGCTTTAGCCGCTTGCATTTTTTGGGCAGAAGCGGGTTTTTCCACACCACCCCCCTCAGATGCTCGCTGGTGCCGAGTGCCCGTTCCTCTTACACGGCCCCATTCGGCATCACCTGGGCTCCCTTCCCCAAGTCACAGGAGATGCTGTAATCCGCTGGAGAAAGCAAAGCGAATCCCTTATGGTTCTTTTGCGAAATGCTCCTTAACCGTTTCGCAGCAGCCTGTTCCTGGCAATTATGTGACAGTTCAGCACAAATGTCACGGAGCTGCTAAGTTTTCAGCACTTTCCGCAGTGCTGAGGCTGGAAAACAACGCATATATATTTTTTGCTGATCCAAGTCCTTAGTAATTACACTTAATAGATCCCAGAGGGATTCCTAGGTAACCTGCACTATGGTTTCCATGGCAGAGAGACGGAGCTTGTACCCTGCGATAACAGATAATAATGGATTGTTAATGCTTAATTAATTATGCTACAATTGTATTTGTAAACCAGCTGTCCCTTGTATTCCCAGTAAGACTCTTGAGTTGCTACACAACGGTTAAAGGATAAAAACAAACAAGGCGGAGGGGCAGAAATGGTGGTGCTCGGCTGCAGTGTGCCGAAACCCACAGGCTGGAAGAAACCTTCACTCGTTACTTCTCCAGCTACGATTACGGTTATTACCCCTGTGCCATAACAAGGGTTTATTCACGTTTTAGTGTTTCCATGGGTTTGGGTCTATGTTCCAGCTCTCTAAACTTTGGAGGAAATCTTAAAAGTCCTTGGAGCCTATCCCTGTTTATACAGAAGCAGCCTTTTGCCTCGCTGATACGGGTGTACGTTGCCCATCCTTGGCAGGTGTTTCCCTCCTCATATGAAGGAGCCCAGGGATCTTATTATAAAAAATAAAAATAAAAAATCCCAGCCCCAGAGCTGCCTCGTTTCGCTGGTGAGATTTGCCACCACCCAGTATGCTGGATGATGCTTAGGCGCACCAGAGCTTGATTTAATTTTTCCTTTCCTGGAGCCAGGCTGGTAACCGTTCTGGGTGGAATTCGTCTCACGTCACTTGGTCTACAGACAGCCTAGATGGTTAGCGCAGCCTAGATGTCTAACATTTAGACAGCTAAAATTGGGTGAGAGGACGCTGCCAACCAGCGTCTGCTTCCCAGTAAAGGAGGTTCTGGACTTGCAGGCGCTGTGCTGGGAGGCAGGACGGCGGTTCGCAGCGGAGCCCCGTCTCCTGAAAGACAGGCAGGGTAGTTTAAACAAATCTCTGCAGTTCCTGACGGCCTGCTTTAGCACTACTATTTCGGGGCTAAAGAGAGTGTTGTAGCTTTTTAAAAAAAAAAAAAAAAAAGATCAGCTTTGCAGGCTGCTTGCTGCCTGTGGCACACAAACCCCAGGCTTGGAAAATCAGCTCGACCTCTGGCTTTCTCGCACCCCAGAGCCCGTTAAACCGCCGGCCTCTGGGATTTCTTTGGGCTTTTCTAAATCTCAAGAAGGCGGAAGATGAGATAAAGCACCACCGAAGTACTAAAGCAACATGCAAAGCTGCAAATCAAGGGCTGGTGCTCTTCTTTCTAAATGCGGGTAGCTCGCGACAGAGGGCTAGCATGCGGCGTGAAGAGTTGTAAAAGCTGCTGGTTCTGAAATGCTGGCTGTGGCTGCGGTAAAAGGGAGTTCACTGACCTATTGCCAGGCTGGGCTCAGCAAAACATCTCTTCCGAAGCACAAACCTAGAAGTGATTCATCTTCTGCCTGGGCACTGAGCAGGAATCACTTCTTAGAAACAGATGACACGTATCCCAGGACATCCTTGCCATCAGAGGGGAGAAGGGCACGCGCTCCATCTGAGCGGAGGTTAAGGCACAAAGACCTTACAAGTTAGAAATAAGCCAGACATAAGCATTTAGAAGTACAGCAGGATTCGTAATTGGAGCTAAAACAGAAGCCTCAGAGTCGCAAAGCTGCTTACCCGCCAGCTGCCACAGGCAGGCCTCCAGCCCTTGCTAAGATGCGCCGGCGTCTCACCGCGGGGAGCAGCCATACCTGCAATTGCTGCGTGGTGAGCCCTTGTTGGAGTCAGCACGGGGAAGAGGGTGTTAAAAAGAGGGAACTGTAAAAAGAAGCAGAATTTGTAGGTTGTCAGGCAGTCGGATTTGAGCTGCTCAGTTTGCAGAGACCCATCCCCTCCCAGGTCATCCTATTTCTGGCATGCTTTTGCTGCCAAATGCAGAAGACCCTGCACATGCGGTGGCAAAGCAAGCATTTTCTCCTGCCTCTGCATTGAACAGAGGACGCGAGATGCAAATGGGTGCAGACTGAACCGGGGAGCTGAGCAAAACATTCGTGCATGGGCATCCAGTGGCTGCTGGGGCAAGCAGGCGGTTGCATCTCGCTTAGTTTGTTGAATCCCCCCATTTTTTTAGATGAGGGCACGACTTTGATGTACCGGTGTATAAACGAAGGGCATGCTCCCTCCCGGGACACATCAGCATCCTCTGAACACGAGTACCAAAGCGCTGTGATTTTGGTCAGTCCGACAGGTCCACCCCAAAGCGTCCGTGTTTGTGAGGGTGAAGCCCAAACACCAGGGAATTAAGAGGCAGCCGGTCCTGCTCTGTGCTTTTTGTCAGGGAGGAGAAAGCAGCCTCCAGATTATCCCAGGCTCATGTCGGCTGGTATACAACCTTGCCTCCTTCACGGTATTGCAATGATCTAGCAGTCTGAGCAGAGGCAGAAATGGTGGCTGCCTCTTTGGCAGGGGAAAATCAAACAGCGAGTGGACCAAGACTAACGCAAGTGCGAGCGGGAGCAGTTAAGTCCTCCCCTGGCTGCGAGGTGGAGGGAACCAAATGCATTTTGTGTCTCTGTGGTGCCCTGCCAACAGAAACAATGACAGTGATAATCACTTGCAATCTGTTATTATATTAACACCAGCTCAAAAATCGTAAAACCCAATAATCTTTTGAAATGAAGCTAAACCCCCCAAATGTAAATAACACACCGCATCGCAGTGCTTGGCAGCGGCAGGGCTGGGGGGAGAGGAATGGCAACAGGGGGGTGGTTTCTGCCTTTGAAAGGCTTTGCGTGGTGCAGGCGGAGAGATTTGCTGGAAGCAGTCAGGCGTGGATACCTGGCTGCCAGGAGAGGCTCTCCGCAATCCCTCCGTTTGGTTGGCTTCCTTTGACCCTGTTGCTAAGCTACAAATATGCCTTTCCAGCAAGCTCCAGCATCCTCGCTCCCACCCACTCCCAAATGCGAACTGAATCAGCCTGCTCAGAAGAGAGAAACGATCTCTGGCCAGCAAGGAGCTTTTTTGCTTTTTTTTTTTTCCCAGCAGCCCTGCAAAGTGGTACAAGGACTTGCTTAGAAAGGGCGCCCGCCCCTGCCCCATGCCAACCCGACAGCCACAGGAGCTTCGTGACGAGGACAGGAGCCCAGAGAAAAGCATTTATACCATTCCGGGCGATTAAAGCTGGCACAGCTCCGTTGCAGCAAGAATAGACAAGGATACCAGCTACTCCGAGAAATAGCTACCACCTACCTGCACACACGCTTGCTCACCCCGATGCCAGCCACATTAACGCTTTAGGACAGCAAATGTTTTATGGCAGGGACGAGGTGGCAGGGTGGATGTTTTTCTGACCGGTGTTCTGCAGAAAGATGCGTTGGAGAGTTGTCTGCAGTCCTGATGCTGAGCGGTCTCTTCCCATCATTCCCGGGATGCTAATAGGGTCCGACAGCCACATCCTCATCGGGTCCAACAACGAGTTCTTTGGGCTGCCTTTACGTGCAGTGGAAAGTAATGGGTGCCTCTGGGGTGCGCTTCAGCCCGGCCTGCGGCGGGCGGCGGGCAGGGGCCAGCTGGCGTGCGGGTTGCTGTGATGGCTCCCACCTCGTCCCCAGGAGCTTCGTTTGGTCCGTGTGAACCTCAGGAAAGGTTATTGGAGCTTTCCCAAAGCGTTGCCTTAACCTAAACCACTGTATGCTGGCCTGACTTTTGCCGTTATCAGGATACCTGTAGAAGCAATCATGTTTATTGGAAAATGTCCTTTAACGACTCCTCCAAACCGTCCCCAAACAATTATACAATCCAATATCATCATTTTTTTTTTTTTCTTTTTCACTGACCACCTCGGGTAAGCAACCCATTTTAGTTATTCTTTTAAGGCCAGATTTCCTATGTGCACGACATGGGGGAGTCCATGAGCAACTGCTGTCCTAATGGATGGGGCCGGTGGTGCTTGGCAGACGCTGGGTCCGGAGCTCACACTGGGACTTAGATGCCATTTGTGCTAATGCGTGACAGTAAACAGAGCCTGCCCCGAGACTTGCAGGTGTACGGGGCTATTGAGGGAAATGGATGGAAAGTTAAGTGTTGAAGTGGCTCAGAAAAGCAGGCGGCCAGCAGCTTTGCTCTCACCCGGGGAGGAGAGGGACAGCGCTGCCAGGGGTGCTGCGGGCCACGGGAATGCCTCGGGCGATGGGTCGGCGTGGGGAGGGAGCAAAGGGGCTGCTGGCAGAGCCCGCTTCAGTTCTCTTGGTGAACCAGGAGAGGGATTTTGTCTGCTTCTGCGGACTCCGGGGGCTGCCTCAGGAGGACGTTGTGCTCAGACGAAAGACCTAGGGGTGCCCTGTTGGTTGTCACAGTGAGGGAAGCAATGCTTTGGTCCCTGCTTCTGCTGTTTGCTCACCTCTAGGGGCGAGATCTTCATTCACACCTTCCTCCTAAGGCAGCAGCCTGCAAAATTTCCACGAGGGGTACCAGGCACTTTGGGATCGTTTGCTGGAGGGTGTCAATCGGCCGTTTGGGGTCCGCTCGCCCGCAGACCCCCCTGCCCGCAGCATCCCAGCCCCAGCGCAGCGCCCGACCCCTGCTACGAGGCAACCTCAGGCAGCCTTCCAGCGCGCCTTCTAACTCCTCTCCTTCTCTTTCTCTTCCAGGGCTCAGCTCCCATCCTGGTAGTCATGGTGATCTTACTAAATATTGGAGTCGCCATTTTGTTTATTAACTTTTTCATCTAATTCAAGACTGTCTTGTTTGCAAAAATAACAGTTACATGTATGAATGGGGGAAAAAAAAAACCAAACAACAACAACAAAAAGGGAAAAATCGTAACTCGAACTGTCCTACGACAATTTCCAAGTCTTTTCACAGAAGAACAACAAACGATCGAGTCTCACTCACAGTTTGCCTTTTTTCCTGGGTAATGTTTTTTGGATTTTAGCCAAAATTCTTTGCTTGTATAACACTATGCTGTGTGGCATGGCAAAATGCTATCAACACTCTGCCCCCCCAACACTGGAAAGGATGAGAAGGAATCCCAACAAAATAAAACCTCATTTCCCTTCCCCTCGCCCCCCAAAAAATATATTCGTGACAACAGTAATGACCCCCAAAATGGAGACTAGATGAGGGGACTGTGGGGAGATTTTGTTTAAAGTATGTACGGGTCCTGGGATGCTCCAGGCTGAGTTTCCCAGGGAAATCCACAACAGCTTTAATGATGAAGGAAATGGGAGAGAAAAGCAAAATCGGGCTTTTCTTCCTTCTCCCTTGGCAAATGGAGAACCGTTGCCGTAAGAAGGAGGAGAGAAGGAGCACGGGGAAGGCGTGAGCCCTGCCTAGACGTGAAAGACGGGAGAAGGGCGACGGGCCCCATTTTGTTATTTGTTTTTAAAACAAAGCAGCAATTGGTGCTTTGCTAAATTTCTTGGGGCGGGGGGGGGGAATAGGGAACGCAAGGTGTGAGCAGCAGCACCACCACCCTCCTGCCTTCACTCCTCTTCCCCAGGCTGCTCCCCCCCCCATGGCAAGGCTGGAAAACCACCCAGCGCTACTTTTAATTCACAGCCAGTTTCTCCTGGGTTAAAAATGCGTACCGGGATTCCCCCCCCAAAACACGCAAGCACCTTCAGCAACACAAACTGGGGAGCTGCTGGTCATCGTGCCGTGCTCGCCAAGACGCGAGGAGCAGCCTTACGTGAGCATCCCATCCCAAACACACGCGTGCGCAGCGGTGCCGGGGAGCAGACTGGTGGGGAGGTGCTGGGGAGAGAGGGCTCAGTTCTGGTCCACCTAGGATACAATAAAACAAAATAAAGCAAAATAAGATAAAACTGTTTTTCAAAGGCATCTGGGGAGGAGCATTGGAGCATGTCCCAGAGAGGAGGGAGAGGGTGGTGGGTTTGTCTCTTACATCTTGCTGTGGACTGTTTCAGACATCATGCTTGGGCTCTGAGCATGTAGTATTTTGCACTTTGTAATGCAGGATGTATATTCCAGCTTCCAACATGTCCCTGTAAAAAAAAAAAAAAAAAAGAAAAAAAAAAGAAAAACAAAAAAACAAACATCATTGGCAATGGCAGCCTCTAAGGATGTATTCTTTTCTTTTTTTTTTTTTTCTATGTCACTTAATTTGTTTGTTTATACCATCTTTGTAATATGCCTGCCTTGATTTTCTCCCCTCCCCTGTCCCCACTGATAATATGCATACTCATTAAAGATGCCGTATCCCTGTTCTGAGCTGTCATGGTCCCCGTCACAAGAACGTGGTCTTAGCTCAATTGCTCGGACATGGCTGACGTCCCCTCGCCTTTCAAAAAACGACTGTACCGTTTCTTCCCCTCCCCACGCCGTCTTTCCCCGCTGCGGAGATCGGCCTTGCCGGCGATCCGCCACCGCCAGATCCGGTTCAAATGGTTTGTTTGGGATTTGGTACGCCCAGGGACCAAATTCCACCCTCGGTTCTACCCCCTGCAGCTCCGTGCGGCGGGAGACGGGGTGCGAGCGCGGCAGCGACCCGAGGGCGGGAGGGAACCCCTACACAGATAGATTTGGTGGGGGGAAGGAGGGAAAAAACCATCTTCCTCGGCATTTCACATACAGAGTGGTTGGGTACAGCCCTGACTTGTGGACTCAGCTTTGCTTTGCTTCTGTTTTAGCTGTTTCTCTGCTACCTTTTCAGCAGATTTCTTATTACACTGCACTGGATTGCTATATTTTTAACCAGAAATAAACTAAGGATTAGAGCATGTGCCAGTTAAATTCAGTTCTTCTCCTTACATGGTCTTATTCCCTCCTGTCGCAGTTTTTCTTCCTCTTTTTCTTCCTTTCCCTTCTCAGGCAGAGGGCTATGGGGGGACAGGGTCAACGATAACCACAGGCAGCCAGGCCCCAGTAACTTTTGTATTTCATTTTCCACTGTAACTGTCCATCGTCTTCGTACCTCTTCCTTTTTTTCTTTTTTTTTTTTTTTTTGTTTTTTCCTTTTGGGTCCTTAGTCATCTTTTTTTGCTCTTGAACGCTTGCTGCATACTCGAAAAGAACCAAATCACGACATATTGTGATTGCAGCCCCAGGAACTCATCCGTGTGTTTTGTAATTCTGGTTGCAGCTCCTTGTAAAGACCCTCGGGGACGTTTTTTGTACATTCAAGCGCACGACACAAAGGTCCCGCCAGGAGCAGGTTAAACAGCTACCTGCAAACACAGTACGATACTTACAGATACATAATCCAGCACAAAAATGCCTCTCGTTATCAATCGAATAAAAGTACTAGTGATTTCATGACTAGCTTTTTCACACTGGTGACCGACTAGTTATTCCCACTCTTGCCCATGTACCAGCAGTTATGTACAGACACAAACGCAACGCGGATTTTTCATCTCTGTTCCACGGGATAAAGCCTCAGTCGAGCTGAGGTTTGTTCCGTATGAAAGATAGCCAAAGACTAATATTAATTGGCTCCCAAACCACATGTTTAAAAATAACGATTCCTTTATTAATCATGGGGAGCCGAGCAATTTGTCTTAGTTCTGGGCTTTTCAGTTTTGCCCAAGGCCAGAAATATTCTCGAGAAGTAGCCCAGAGAGAGAGGTAATTCAGGATATTTCCCTGGCTTATGAGCCCTGGATTCAGGCCTATCTACCTAAGGCACATTAAAATGTCTATCATCGTGGCATATAAATCTACGTAAATTGTCCATACCTGCTGTTTTATGTCCACGCTGACAGATGCATGCGAACAGTTGAAGGTTTATATCATTTTTTTTTTAGGCTGCAATGCTATTTTTATGTTCCTACGGTGGAACAAGCAGCACCTGAAACACAAGGAGGGGCTGGGGCTCAAGGAACCAGCCCACCTCCCGCCATGGCACCCAAAGCATTGGGAAAAAGGCCCCTATCCCTCCCCGGGGACAGCCAGGTCCTCCGGCCGGACCCCACCTGTGTGAGCCACGGGCTGGTTTGACACCGCATCTTTGGGGAAGGCAAGAAGGAAGGAATGCAAAACCCCTCCGCCCGCTTGGGCCACATCAGCTTCTCACCAGCCCATCTGGCGTCTGGTTTGCTTGGACCCGGGACCTAGATTCTCCGAGCGCGCTGGGACTCTCCAGGGCCTGATCTTTCAGAGATACTGAGCTGTTGCAGCATCTCTTTACCTTGTGCGGAGTTATGAAGTACTGCTGGGGAAAAAAAAATCCAGACTGCAACAGAAGGGGAGGGGTGAGAGGAAAAATAATGTCATTTTGATGATGAAGGGCTTAATTGAAACCCAAGGACTAATTATCATAGAATCATAGAATCGTTAAGGTTGGAAAAGACCCTTAAGATCATCGAGTCCAACCGTTAACCCAGCACTGCCAAGCCCACCACCAAACCGCGTCCTCGAGCACCACGTTTACCTGTCTTTTAAATCCCCCCAGGGATGGGGACTCAGCCCCTGCCCTGGGCAGCCTGGGCCAGGGCCTGACAGCCCTTTCCGGGAAGAAGTTTTTCCTAATATCCAACCCAAACCTGCCCTGGCGCAGCTTGAGGCCGTTCCCTCTCATCCTAATTAGATGTCCTGACAGGCTTTGGCACGTTAAGGGAGGATGGAAGAGTAGGAATTTTTTAAAACTGTCATAGGGTGAGGTTGGCTCCAGAGATTTGTGCTGAAGCAGAAGAGAGCAGAGGGTGGCCTGGGTCTCCTGCCCGTGCTGCGCAGCTTTGCTCACGCGGGTGAATCGTTCACCCCGAAGATGGGCTCTGCAGGCTTTGCTCACGCGGGTGAATCGTTCACCCCAAAGATGGGCTCTGCAGGCTCTCGACAGGGTGGCAAGTCTGCCTGGGGTAGGGAAACGGGTCAGCTCCTCACACAGCCCCTAACTGAATGGCATCAGTCACGTTGTTGTCCATCACTGACCTTCACGGCAAGGCTCCCTGACCAGCTCTGCGCTGAGCCCATGGCTCGAACCATCGCTGAAGACAGCTCTGAGGACAGCGAGCACTAGATACATGCCTTTGAATAACAGATCCGCTGGGACTATGCTTCCCTCAGAGACATTTCAAGCTCGTGAGTTCCTTTTATTGATCTGTTTCGACTAATATTAACCCACGGGCACTTAGCTTCAGCGCTACCACCAACCTGTTTTTCCAGGGTATGCGTAATCACCTAATTACCATGCCAAGCCAGGGAGTTTCAACAGGGAATGACCCCCCCCATGGCTACTAATCAGCGCTCAGAGGTCTGAATATGGAACTCAGATACATCGTGAGCTGTGTCCCTTCATCCGAGGCATCTCGGAAGTCGTGCTCCATACCGTTAAAGGAAATGCCACTTTCTAGATGTTGAGAGCTGCTGAGCGTTGTCCAAAAGCAGTTGTTGGATGGCTGGCTTAGAAATGCTGTGGTGGGTTGCACGCTCCCCAGCTGGAGGTGGCAACGGAAGATAAACTTCAGAGAGACTCACGTTCACGCACAGGTGTTACTCGCTCTGCTACGCTGCTATCTAGCAGACTCACAATCCTTATCATCTGCCTATTTTATCCTTTTATCCCGAGTTTGGGTACACTATTAACAGCATTGATAGTCTAGCAAGGCTCAGGCTCTCTTACAGACTCCCTCGTTTTAACACGATAAGAACACCAGCATCCAACCCCTTACCTCCTCCCCAAGAGCAGCTGCCCCCACCCCAGCGGCAGCCGCGTTTTGGTATCAGGCGTTTGGTCTTGTTGGAAGGGAGAGCTGTGCGAACGACTCCTGCGAGCAGGACTCCTGCAATCCCCAACCCCTTCAGCGCGGAGCACGTTTCAAAGCTCTTTTCTCATTCGTCTGCAATGT